CAATATATAATCGAAATTTGTTATATTGGATATAACTCAAACCATGTACGTAAGTGTTTTCTTGTCAAGAATGAAAAGTATAAAAGGATTTCAAGATACAATAACTTTTATCAGACAGATAATATCAAATCGGCAAGATTAATAAAAAATACTTGTTCGGAGTAATCTTTTCCGATATTCATTAAACGCTCGGAAGTTTTTCCGTTATTGGGCAGCACGTCGGTGCATTGGTGTATGTATATCGGCCATGCACGTTTCGTATCTGCGTATTTTCGGACGATTTTCTCCTCGGAGCAATGGTAGAGAGTTCTGCCCTCTCTCGCCATCCCTTCTCCTCCCTTTCCTCCTCCACCACCTCCTCCTCCTCCCTCACACTCACACCTTTCTACGGAGCGGAAGGGAACGGGCCGGCGTTTAATGTAAATCGCCACGCACGGTTCTCTCGTACGCGTTGGAAGGATGAGGAGGGAAGCGAGCAAGCGAGCGAATAGTGGAAACCAACGAGTGAGAGAGAGAGAGAGAGTGGGTGTTGAAGGAAAGAGACAAAGCTAGCACTAGTGAGAAGGACGGAAACAGATAGAGGGAGAAACATACATATGTATGTGTAAATGTGTACTTACTCCCGCATCCTACACTCCAACCCATCCTTTCTCTCTCTCTCCCTATCTCTCTCTCTCTCTCTCTCTCTCTATATATATATATATATATATATATATATACATATGTATATATATATGTGTATATATATATATGTACGTATGTATGTATATATATCTCACTCGCATACTCACACTCTACCCCTTCTCCCTTTACTACCTCCCACACCTCCTCTTTCACTCGGTGTTTCCCTCCTCGTCGTTCTCCTTCTCTCTCTCTCTCTCACTCTTTCTCTCTCTCTCTCTCTCTCACTCTTTCTCTCTCTCTCTCTCTCTGTCTCTCTCTGTTTCTCTCTTTCTCTTTCTCTGTATTTATCTATCTCTTTCTCTCTCTTTCTCCCTCTTTCCATCCTTTTCTCTCGTTCTCTAGGGACGACAAGCGTTCTTCGTGGCGTGCCACGGCACTCTCATATACTTTTTTCCCCTTTTTCCTCCTCCTCCTCCTCCTCTTCCTCCTTTATCCTCTTTTTCCACGAGCACGGCCCCCCGGGCAGTCGAGTGATTTTTATAATCTGCTACTTGTTGCGCCGCACACCACCGGCCGTCACACCAACAGCAACAGCGGTAGCAACAGCAACGTGTGTTCGAGTATGCGGCCCGCCCGGAAAAACCGGAAAATAGAGGAAAACAAAAGCGCGGCGCATCGGCCAGTAGCCGTGCAAGCGGCCAAGAGAACGACCGGGAGAAAGGGGTGCAGAGACGACGAGAGGGATGGGTTGCTAGCGACGTCGGGGGTTGCGAGAGTATCGGGGATCCTCGCTGGAGGGGATGAAAAAAGAAAAAGGCATCGCGGGACCGGCCAACGGATCATCCGCCCCACGCCGCTGCTCCCCTCTTTTCGTATATATGTACCTTGTTTCTGCCGTGTATGTTTGTGTACGTATTATACTTGAAAGTGTGCGGGAGCTCGTGCTCGCGCGCGCACATGAAAGCCTGCTCCAGCGCGCGCGATACACTATGCAGTTGCAATCACAAGAAGAGTCTATCGACTCTCTCAACACATTGTTCTTTCTTTTCATTCTTATTTTCTTTTCTTTTCTTTTCTTTTCTTTTCTTTTCTTTTCTTTTTTTGCTTTCTTTTCTTTTCTCTCTTTTTCTTTTTTACTTTCTTTTTTCTTTTTCTTTTTCCTTTTTTCTTTTTTCTTTTTTCTTTTTTTCTTTTTTTACTCCCGTCCCATATTTTTCCAAATAGAACGGTAATAACGGATACGAATCTATTGAGCAATTGTTCCCGGTTAATAATTTCTTATAACTACGTAATTGATGAATCGAATTGATTGAATTTTGATTAAAGTTAATATAAAATCTGATTAGATAGATTAATATATTATTATTATTATTATTATTATTATTATTTTTATTATTATTATTATTATTATTATTATTATTATTATTATTATTATTATTATTATTATTGTTGTTGTCTTTATTATTGTTGTTGTTGTTGTTATTTTTATCGTTGATATCGACAATTTATTTACGATTAACACGTTATTTTCGTTTTTCTTTTATTACGAAAAATAGGTTCAATTGATCGAAAGAATGACGGATTATTTATTAATCAAATAACGACGGTTAAACATTAGCTTAGGTATCTTCTAAGTCGACAAAGATTAACTTTTTTTGTGAACCAAAATAAATATATCAGTGTCATCATTGAACGATGAATAATAGTATGATAGGTGAGGTGAAAAATGTTGTTAACAAGGAACTCGACATATCGAAATTCTTTTCGTCAAAAAGAGAATGTTTCATTAATAAAGAGAGAAAAAAGTTTTTACAATAGGTACAGACTGAGAGTTAGACGGTAGGATCAAAGTTCTGATCCGTATAAGTGAGCCGTG